TGTCTAGGCTGAGTCACTTCCTCCTGGGCATTGCCTGTTAGCGAGATTTGGCTGTTGCACTTCCCCCCGCCCCCCACCCCCCCCAGCTCTGTCGCTCTCGGTTTTGCTGCATTATAATGCGCGTTGAGGTAACTCTTCTTTTTGTGCAGCCACCTCCAACTCCACATGTATCTTACAGCAATGACTTGGGGTTTTTATTTCTTCAGACATCCATCAGTAGGTTAAAAAAAAAAAAAAAGTTAGTATTTAGACCCCAAGACGGATGTGGACAATTTGGACTTCTCTTTTTTTCCTCCCTTCCCACTTCCTTCCACAAATGCTCCCTGAGCACCTGCTGGGTACAAGGCACTGTTAAAGGCACGAAGATGAAGTAGATGAAAATCTTGTCCTTCCAGAAGCACCTGGGCTAGAGGGGAGACAGATGAATGTGCACCATAATTTTGGTCAAAACCAATGTGCTAGTTACATACATGTGCTACAGGAGGAAAATGAATGACATCACAGTTGATAAGATGCCTGGGCCCCCGGCCACCATGCTCCTGAGGAGTATAGGTCATGTTCAAGAGGTTACCTCATGGCTTCAGCAGTCTGGGTCCAGGTAATGTGAGGAATTGCCAGTACCTGACAGAGATGGAGAAGTCTCCTGGGGAGCTCTGGCTGGCCCGGATGATGAAGGAACCAACCTCTTTGCCCATGAGTAAGTTCTCTGCCTGGTGTCGTGAGAGGCCTTCGTGAAACCATCTATTGGGTGAGATAAAACGAGAGGATCTTGGTGAGATGCCAGAGAGGTAGGACGGGGACGTGACCCAAAGGGAAGAGGGGCTGGGGACTTTGTTCAGAAGAAAGCAGAAAAAGAAGAGAGAGGGGCCAGGAGCCTTTGAAACCAAACAAACGGTCCAGGCAGTTTTCAGGCACAGCAAGTGAGTGTTCCCTGTGACGCTCCCTCTCTGTTCCTTCCCTCTAGAAGCCTCTCTTCAGCTCAGAAAACCTGAATCACGGAAATGTGCCACCGAACCAAAATGGGACAGTGTGGGAGTGACTCACTGCTGGACGTGGCCTCCTGCTGGCAGCTATGTGAGGGATGTTGCTGGGAAAGAACTGTAGGGATGCCCCCGTTCGCTAGGAGGACAGGGACTTTTCCGCACTGGGGGCAACTGGGTGGAGCTGGCTCCCAGGCAGAGACCTCAGTGGCCCAGAAGGAGAGTGACGGCCCAGGGGCTGGTGCTTCCTGGGTGGGTGGGTGGAGTGCCAGGGGCTGCGCTCAGCCTGCTGGACGGAGGCTGCAAGGCGCACCCAGAGCCCTGTACACGCCCCTGGAAATGAGTGGGGCTGGGAGCCGCCAGGGAACCGAGTCTACACAGCCAGCTCCTGGGCTGCCCCCAAAATCCAGGCTGCAAAAATGCTTTATCGTGGAAAAGAAGAAAATGAAAAGAAACTGCTTTTCCGGGGGTGGGGGCGGGATGGTGATGGCTGCAGCCTCCAGAAGTGTTGCTGCAGGGGGCGTCGGACGTTCCGACACAGGCCGGGTCCGTTTTTTCACGGTAAGCGTTGTCGCTCTACACATCTTTGCCGCAAACATCTTTGTCGTAAACATTTTTACTGTGTAACTAACCAGCCGTAAGGCAATTTTGCCGTAAAAAAAGATAAAATCACGACAGAGAAACGAACATAAAATTTAAAAGGGTTTCTTCGCATATATCGGAACCGTCTGCAGCTGCGTGGCAATACCCCGCGGGGAACTGCGCTTACTTTGTGGATCCTGCCTAAGCACTTGTCTTCGTTCTGTGGGAAATAAGGTTTCAACTCTGGGCCCTCCGAGAGGGCCCTGGCGTCTCTTTCTCCTCCCAGTTCATGTGTTTTGAAATAAGAAACCAATTCTTGGGGCAAATCATCATCATCTAGAAGAAATGCTAAAAATTTTAAGACCCCACCACTGTATGCGGGCTAGCTAAGATTTATAGATACTACAAAAATGGGAGTAACTGCAAAAACTTGTCAATGGAGAAATGAGACCAAATCGACAACTAGCTTAAATGCATTAAGTCTGCCGAGGGCGATTGATTGATTCGTCAATGGAGAAACCAAAGCAAACAAACAAAAAAGAGTCAAAAATCGAACTGTCAATTTTAGTTAGCTTATCTTTTTTTTTTTAAATAGTATTTGATTGATTTGTTAGTAAAGAAATGAAACCAAACCAGAAAGAAACAA